TGCACATCCTTCTAGTTGCTGTATGTGGGACGCGGCCTCAGCATGGCCAGAGAAGCGGTGCGTCGGTGCACGCCCGGGATCCGAACCTGGGCCGCCAGCAGCGGAGCACGCGCACTTAACTGCTAAGCCACGGGGCCGGCCCGGGAATTTGAGTTTTACCTGTTACATTTTAGTTCTTATTTTGGTCTGGGGAGCAGAGGCGGGGTAGCTCAGAGAAATAATAAGGGGTTTCTTTTGAGAATGCTGTTTGTGGCAGAGAAGGAAGGAAGAGAGGAGATGCTCCTCCTTGCTCTTCCTCCCACCATCCCTCTCCACAGCAGAGCCACATCCCCTCACTGGCAGGGCTAGGTACGTACTTATTGGGGTACTTGCGGAAGATGTCCTTGATCACCACGATGGCTTCCTGGACCACGTAGTTGACCTTGGTCTGGATGAGATCGAGCAGCGTGCTCACACAGCGCTCTGCAGATTGCTGTGTGGGAAGAGGAGAGTGTGGGCCAGGCCCCTGCACCCATTTCCAATAGAACCCCGGTCAAGAGCTCAGTCACTCCTTGCCCACCTTCCTTGTCACAGTGCGAGAACAGGAGAACACTCTCCCCAGACAACAGGTGGGAGAAGGAGTACAAAATGATGGCCTGGGCTGGCAGGGACGCAGGGAGACAGAATTAGATTGAGTAGGAGGCCAGAGGCAGAACTTCTGAGAGTGGGGAGGGTCGTTGGATCTCCTCCAGGCCAAGCCCAGAGGGTAGAGTCACTATGCTCCAGCCTGACCCCACCTTACTTCTACTTGTTTCATAAAATGGGCTCCTGTGACCAAAAACAACTTAGAAAGTCCCTGCTTGGACCAGCTCCTCCCCCACGCCACCCCGACCCTTATTCCAACACGCTGTGCTAATGCCCTTGCAGGAGAGATTTCTCAGGATGCCAACACAGGTGCCAAGGGAAAATGCCTCGGGGGGGTGGTGCTGGGCTGACTAGCTGTCCCAGGATCCCCTAGCCACCAGCAGATCCATTTAGGGAGAATCAGCTTGGCCGTCAAGGAACATTTGCATAGGCAGAGAATGGGAGGGATGAAATGCCAGGACACAGGAGTCTGGATGGCTCTTGGGAGCTTGGAGAAAGGGGCACATGGACAGCCGAATCATGATTCTTGCCAAATGTTCAACAGGCAGAGAGCCCCTGCCCCATAGCTCCATGTAGTGAAAGCTAAGTCTATCAGGGCCACCACCAGACTGGGGCTGCACCATCCTCTTAGCTAATGCTGCAGGAGAACCCATGATTATGACAGGTTAATTCATCTGCAGCAGCTCAAAGGCCTAAAGGAGATGACAGCGTGAGAAAGAGCCCAACCAATCTGCAACATGGGTGCCTTGGGGGCTCTGATGGTGACTCTCAGGCCTTCCTGGACCATAAGCAGCTGGCAGATTCTGCTAGAATCAGACTGGTTTCCTGGTTTCAGCTTCCTTCCCCTCCCCTGACCAAGAACAGAGTCCCAGAGCCTCACCTCCACCTTGATGGCACAGCGCCCAATGGCTCGCACTGCCTTCCGTACAAAGTCCACATCCACCTCTGTCGCATACTCTTTCAGCTCTGCCAAGACCTGTGGCCCAAACAGAGAAGATGGGGTGGGAGGGATCTGGCAGGGCAACTCTTGGAGCACCCCTGGGCAGTGGATATGCACAGACCCCTAGAAGGATGGGATTCTGCCTCCTGCTCCAGGTGGAGGCCCAGGGGGGAGAGAGAGCTGTCAGGTGCCCTAAGAGGAAAGCAGGGAAGGACTAGTTGGCAGAGCTGGACAACCCTTGTTTAGGTTGATCTAGCTAACACATCCACATAACTAACACTTTTCAATGAATGGATGATAGTAATAACAAGGAGAACAAATTCTTTAATCACAAAAATATCAGCTAACATTTGTTGAGTGCTGGCTCACAGAGCCCTGTGCTAAGCACTCTTCACGAAATAAACTGTTAATGGTGAGGCTGGGCAGCCTGCCCAGAGACCACAGCTCACTGGTGGTGATGCCATCCAACACCAACGCCCGTGTCCCCGGCCACCGCCCTCTGCTGACCTGGGCAATATTGGCCTGGGAGGCCAGGCGGATCATGATGTCCAGCTTCTCCAGCTTCACGTAGATGGGGTCATTGTACTTCACGAAGAAGACCTTCATCTCGTGCTTCAGGATCTCAGGCCTGGTGGCAGGGCAGGATTAACCAAAGAGCAAAAAAGCAAGGCATAGGCCTTGTGAGAAAACTCCCTCCGTGTTTGCTGGGACATTTCTGGGGTCTGAGGTGCAGCCTGCCCTCCATGAAGACAGTCCCCACCACAGCTGCATACTCCCGGGCAGAGGGCCGCTGACAGGCCTGAGCAAAGTTCTGATGGGCCGCTGCGTGTCCAACCACATCCCAGGAAGGGAAGAGGGAACAGGAGCAAGAAACAGCCCACATTTGAGAGGCAGCAGGCACTAGGGGATGGACTTGGGAATAGACAGACTTGGTTCCAATCCCAGCTTGTGACCTCAGGCCTGCCTCCTCACCCATGAAACAGGAATGACACTGTGCAGGAAAGCGCTACCACTGCAGGCTTGGGTCTCTAGTCTTAGAAAGGCCTGGTGTCTAGGAACTCGACTTCCGGGAGTGTTCTCACCGCTCTCTCAATGATAAAGGTGTTTAATTGTGCCTAGACTGTTTGTACAAACAATATGATTTATGCTGAACACCGCTTTCCTTCTAGGAGTCTGGAAATTTGGTAGGTGCTAGGCAGAGGGAGCCTACACGACCAGGCCCCAATAAAAACCTAGGGTTCTGAGTCTCTAGGCTTCCCCGGGCAGAAGCATTACACACATGTTGCTGCGTTTTATTGCTGGGGGAGGAGTGTGCTCTGTGTGACCTTCCCTCCAATGGGAGGAAGGGAGTATAAGGAAGCCTGCACATGGATTCCTCCAGACTCCACCTGTATCTTTCTCCCTTATGGTCCAGCTGTGTACCCTTACTATGTTGATAATAAATCTTAGCCATGAGAACTACTATATGCTGACTCCCATGAGTCCTTCATGGGTGGTCCTGGGGATCCTGACACAGATACCTATATAACAGGGTTGTTGTGAGAGTTAGCTGCAAAAACATCTAGCGTGGGCCATGCCTGCCTCAGAGAAGGCACTCGTTAAGCAGGAGCTGTCACCAGCTAAGCACTTTCATATGTGTTATTCCGTCTCCCTCAACTGGCACCATCCACCTCATTTTTCTTAGATGAAGAAACCTGAGAGGTGGAGAGGCTCGCACTAGGTCACACATCTAGTGCTAATAAGGGCGGGAGCAAGATGAGAGTCACCACCCCCAAGTCCTACTCCGATGCCCTTTCCAGAACAGAAAGGAGGAGGGAAAAGGAATGAGGACAACTGGTGAAGGGGGGAGAAGACAGCAGAGAGAAACGAGGGACCCTATCAGGGCAATACTCAGTGCTGCTGTGTGAGCTGCGGGAGGTCTTGGCAAAGCAAGGAGCCTTTGTCATGCCCAGTGGGGGAGGCAGGATCCCAAGCTGGGCAGCAGGAAGACATGATTTCTGCAACCAGGACTTGGGAAAAGCTGCCCAACCACACGTTGGGACTGGGCCAGCTGGTACCTCAGCAACACGGCCAACTTCTTAAAGAGATTTGCCATGTTAAATATAGCACAGGGAGCCCTTCCCACTGATCGGGATCCACAGGTCACTCACTATACTTTACTAAACCCCACGCGGCAACTGCGAATCCTAGGCTCGTCCCTTTGTTTAGGTACTCAGAAAGCTTTCCCATCTTTACCTCCCAAACCTTCACAAATGGCTCGATTCCACTGATATCTCTGGGCCCCCAAGAGTGTCCTAAGAACTACACTGATGTTACAAAGACAAGGAGCGTTTGCTGTCTTCCAACTTCTAAGAGAGAACGTCTACAAGAGGCCCTTGTTCTCCGCGTGGCCCTGCTCCCAGCAATGAGGTGGCTGTAATACGCTGATGCTTGCCAGTTAGTTGCTGAGTGAGCCATCTGACCAAAACGGCTGGGAGCAGAACTCCTGAGTCCAGCCCCAGTCCACAGAGCTGCAGGCCCGTTTGCTGGATCGTTCCAGAGAACCCCCCTTTCTCCGGGTCCCTCGAACAAGCACTGCTCAATTGTTTTTCAGCCCCACCCATCCCAGTACCAGATCCTTCCCTGAGGATCCGTGGCTTACCGCCACAGTCATTCCTAAGAGGTGGGTGGCCATGGGCTGCACAGCACCCTGAGCAACTCTGACATACCTCTTTCCCTGCCCCGAGGCTGATGCAAAGTCCACAGTGTCTTGACCACCTTGGGGTCCTCCAACCTCGGGGAATTTGACTAGAATACGGACTCTGTCCCCAGCAAAAATGCACATAGACACACAAAATCTCACATCCTGTTTCAGGAAGGCTCTGTGGACTGTGGAACTATCATGCTAGCCTGTATCCAGCCTGCTACCTGCTTAGGCTAAGCCAGGGTCTCTCAACCTCAGCACTACTGACATTTTGGACGGAATAGTTATCTGGGGTGGGGGGAGGCTGTCCTGTGCATTGTAGGACGTTGAGGAGCATCCCCAGCCTCTACCCACTAGATGCCAGTAGCACCCTCCAGGTGTGACAAGCAAAAATGTCTCCAGACATTGCCAAATGTCCCCTGGAGGACTAAGTTGTCCCTGGCTGAGAACCTCTGGGTTAAGCTATTCTTTGAGATTTCCTGCATGGTGACAGGTCAGTTCCCCTTCAGAGCCCCTATTCTCAGCAGCAGACCCCCCAGGAGCACACACTGCACGTAGGTGGCAGTCCCAGTACCTTTTCTGCACAATGAGGTTAATGTTGCGCAGGGCCACGTACTGCAGCTCAGGCTCCGCGGACAGCAGTGTGACCAGGGGTGGGGCCAGCTTCTTGAGCAGTGTGCCGTAGTAGTCCAGGTCCTTGGACAACATCTCCATGAACTTCATCAGCACCTTCACAGCAGACAGCACCACAGCAGAGTTGGCATGGGAGAGCCTGGGGGTGACCCGCTCACAGATGCTGGGGTCCATTCCAAGGGGGCAAATAGGAGAGACAGACAAGGGGAAATACCCTGTTTTTAGTTATCAAGATAGCATGTCTTTTGTAGGCAGAAGATTTAGATCCTTGTTCTGTTGCCTGCTAACTGACCCCAAGCAGGTTAAAACCACTGAGCCTCAGTTTCCTTATCTAGAACATGGAGGTGATGACACGGACTTCACACGGTTGCTGGGGGCTTAAAGGAGATAATGCAGGGAAAGCATGGAGCACAGTGCCTGGCATGTAGTAAATACTCTATAAATGCCAACTCCCTCCCTCCCCTCGCTGCGAGGGCATGCAAAAGGGGCAGGATATCATCACCTGTGCTGGTTAGGACTAAGAGTCACGAGACTCCCAGCTGGGTGACCTGCATGATTTCCTCCACCTGTCTAAGCTGGAGTTCCTTACCTGTAAAATGGGGACAATGATGGGACTGCCTTCACAGATGTGCTTTATGGATTATCTAAGGAGTGGGAAGCACCCAGCAGAGCGCAGGCACTCAGTAAGAAGTCATCAAATGGTGGTTCTGAGGTTATCCACCTCCTTTACTCAGCCCAAGGTGACCAGGTCCCTGTCAGCTCCCAGGTCAGGTCCTGGCTGCTATATGCGCCCACGACGAGCAGTGAGCTGACTGAAGCAAAACTACTGACAGCGTGGCTCTGGCCTCGCTTGAGATGTGTCTGAGGATGGTCTGTGGAGCAAGGCCCCGGGAAGGAGCCCACTAGAGGCCTGAGGCCCAGCTCACGGTTGGAGCCCCCAAGAAGCAGCTTCGGCTGGGCTGGCAAGCGAGGGGCAGCCTGCTCACCTCTGGGCCTCTCGGTCATCCTTGGGTGTATAGTTGGCCAGGCAGTCCAGGATGAAGATCTGGCCCCACTCGGTGCACTCATTCAGGGCTGTCAGCAGCTTGTTAATGGACTGCGGGTTCAGGTCAAGCAGGTTGCTACTGGGGTGAGACTCAGCAATCTCTGAGAGGGCAGCCACTGCATTTGCCACCACCTAGTTGAGAGAGTGGAAGGGGCAGAGCCTGGGGGCACTGGTTACAGGCCAGGGGGCAGTGAGGCTAATGATGCTGGTCAGTCAGAGGTTGAATATCCTGAAAGGAATATGACCTGATGGGCAGGGTCTGGAGCATTGAGACCCACTCCAAGCATTCACTCTACTGACTCCTCTGTAAACGAACTAAACTAAGTGTACCCGCCACTGAAGAAAAACAGGCAAAACAAAAGAAACAAAAGAAAGATCTAGCTCCAAGTGCCTGGCAACAGAAAGCATTCCCAGCTACCTAACACACAGCCCCTGTCTACCAGCTACAACAGATCACTTCAGAGGTTGTCAACTGTGCTTCTCAGAGCTAGAAGATTCCTACAGGGCCCCTCAGGGCTGCTGGGAACAGATGGGGGCTGGAGTACAGAAAGGCTTGCCATGTGAAGCTCCTGGCCCTCAACCCATTTCCACCAGAGCAGCTGTTTTTATGTGTGTTCTGCACTGTGTTCAACTTTTCCCTGTGACATACAGTGCTCCAATGGCCAATGTACTGGCCACTCCACACCTGGGTGTGATCAGTGTTTCTGTAGGAAGTAGAGTGGGATGGCTGGGCAGAGGAGTTTCTGCATTTCACTTTACACAGGACCGGATGACCTGTCCTCCAAACTGCTGCCACTGCCGTGTGTGAGGAGACTAGTTTCCAACCCAGACAAATCCTGGTGCTCTGTCCTCCAGGCTATGCTACTTCAAGAGTGACCCTCTACAACCCTGCAAAGATGTGGGACAAGAGAAAAGCACCTCACATTCAGAGCTCACTGATAGTCTTGGTAAGAAGACAGTGACAATGACAGTGACTGGAAGGGGAAGGGGGGCACTAGACTTGGTTGCAGGCCCACTGTGTGCCAGGCCGTGCCAGACACATTACCTTCACAGATTAAGCCCACAGCACTCCTCCCAGCCACGTAGAGTTAGCTCCACCCTACTGATGAAGAAAAGAGGGCTCTGGAAGGTTAAGCAGCTTACCCGTGGTCGCACAGCTCATTAGGGAGGGCACAGAGAAGAGAATCCAGGTCCCACTCACTCTAAAGATGGTGCTCAAAACACTGCAGGCCCAAGAACAAGTAGTCCACCCAGCAAGGCTCTGAATTCCAAGAACTAGGGACTGCTCGGTACAGGGTCAAGCCAAGGTCTTCCCAAGAGACTGCCCAAGTGACCCAAGAGGTGGCAGAGGTGATACAGCAGGTGGCAGTGGCTTACCATGGGGTTAGAGTCAGAGATGAGGTCTTTAAGGGTGTCCAGGAAGCCCTGGTCCTCCACCAGCTGGGCGTTGATATCGTGGAGCTTGGCCACGCACACGGCTGCTGTTTTGCGCACATATGGGTCCTCGTCCTTCAGGCACTTCCGGAGTGGCTCGCACAGGTACTCTGTGATCTTGTCAACGCGGATGCAGCCCATGGTCCGCACAGCCAGGGCCCGGATCAGGGGGTTGGGGTCCTCACAGTCCTGAGAGGAACCAGCCATAGGCCGGGGGCAGGGGCAGGCTGAGCAACATTAAACAGCTGCTGTGGGATCTCCCACCAACTGCGGCCAACAGCACCAAAAGTAAGTGCCATGTACAGGCACCTAGCATTTGCCAGATACTTGCTGGGGCTTTGCACTGTCGCCTCTGATCCTCACAGCAGACATACAATACTGTTCCCGTTTTATAGGTGAGGGAACTGAGGCTCTCAAGGTTGAGAGCTCTCCCAGCCACAGAGCAGAACCACGATTCAAACTCACAACCATCCAGCACCAAAACCCTCAGTCTTTCCACTGAGCCACAAAAACCCTCACTTGCCTATACCTGAACATCGACTGGGCTAGGGGAGCTAAGGTTCACACAGAGCTGACAATTCAAGTCCCTGCTTGCTCCTCAACCTGAAGGACAGAAAACGCAGAGAGAAGCAAAGTCTAGAAGGAGAACACCGAAGCTCTCAGACGCTCGCTGAATCCTGACCTGGCAAATGATGCAGGGCAATGGCTCATCCCCAGGGCAGGCGGGGATCAACAGGCCTTGGGCGACCTCACATGGAATGAGTTAGCAGGGTCTGTAGCATCTGATTTTCTGGAGAGAGTGGGAGCCCTCTGCTGGAGGAAGAGGCCCTCAGGCTGGAAGTCTGAGGGCCTGGGAAGGAGCCTCAGTGTTTCTACCCAGGGCCATAGTGCCCCATCCCAGCAGACTGAGGAGAGATAGAGCAGTGAGCACCCATACCCCTCCTCTCACCAAGCTCCCACTCACCTTCACAAAGGTGTTGACGGCCATGATGGCCATGTCAGGCTGACTCTTGGCATAGTTCATCAAGTATAGGTACACCAGCTTCTTCAGCTCCAGGTTGTCTGTCTGCATACAGTTCACCACGTCGGGGAAGAGGGCACTGGAAGATCACAATGGCGTCAGTGTGGGGAAGGCTGAAGAAAACAAGAGGAAGACTTTCAGGCAGCTAATGGAGGAAGTTGAAAAGGCGGGGACAGTGGGTAGGAGGAATGGAGAAAGATAACAGCACTTCCTAGTAAAAAGGAGGGCATCAGTATGCTTTGTTACCATGAACACTTACTGGTAGAAATGGAATCCCAAAGGATGATTTTAAAAGCAAAAAAAGTCCTCTATTCTTTTCAGAGGGTTCAAACATGAGCTCTAAAGCCCATCAGACCTGGTTCAAACCCAGCTCTGCCTCTTGCTGGCTGTATGAGGCTGGGAAAATGCCTCTATCCACTAAGTCTCAGTTTCCTCATTTTCAAGAAAGGGCAACAAAACCCCACTTCACACGGCCCTTGTGATAATTAAAGGAGACAGCATACTTAACGTATCTGGTCCTTGACATCTGGGAGATGTTAATAAATGAAAATGATTGTTTTTCTTCCCCTGATACTTAACATGGATCCTTACATTGGGCTGCTGGTGCCAGAGGGGTGTAGGGAAGCAGGGATGGGTCGTCCTGCTTTCACCACAAGGGCCAGCTCAAGCACGCACTAAGAACCAGCCCAGCATGTACAGAGCGTGTGCTATACGCCAGGCCTGGCGATAAGGGCTTCACATACTTGATCTCATTTAACAGCCCCGAGAAGCCAGGGGATTATCCTCATTTTACGGAGGATAATACTGAGGCTCATAAATGTCAAATAACTGGTATACTGCATAGAACCAGTCCTGACATGGTACCCCAAAGTCCCAAAGTCACACGCCCCTTGAGATGTGAAATATGGTGAGAGACCAATTTTCTGTCTCTGGAACCATCACCTCCCCTCTCAATTTTCATGCTTTTACGGGCAAGGACACTGCAACACGAGACTTAAGAGGTCAAAGTGAATTTCCTGAGCCCCAGCAGGCAGGAGTTCAGCCAGTGCTGGAAGTGACGCATCGCCTTGGAAGGTGACAACCAGGAAGGAGGAGGGGAGAGGAGGAACAGCTGATGAGCCGAGTTGCTCTTTTGGGCTCGCCACATCAGCACAACAAACTCGTTTGAGACAGAACAACAACGATGCTTCCTCTGTGAGGAGGTGACAGGGGTGTTCTAGTTGAAGGAGAGCGGCTTTGTCCTGGAAGGAATCTGACTTGGAAGGAGGCCCAGTTTCCAGCAGACGCCTGATCCCTTTGCCGCTCTGTCTTTAAGAGGTCCCTCTGCAGAACTATTTCTCCTGTGGTGCTGTCAGGAGGTCCTTTGCTGATGGGGGCAATGGGATAGGGTAATCCACAGAGAAGTCTAGAGCAGTGGGAGACTGCCAAGGGACCTGGATGGGGAGCTGCTCCATGCTAGCACCCAGGCCTATGAAGCACGGGGCTGGGCACCATGAGGGCACAGAGGAGAGGAAATGGGCGAAAGCACCCTGGATTTGGATTTCAGAAGGGCTGGGCGTGAGTCCTAGCTCTGCCGTTAACCATGTGACTGTTGAGAAATCACTGTACTCCTTCTTTATCTTGTTTCTTTGGCAGTAAAAATATCATTAACTATAATTTAGGAATTGTAAGGAACTACTAGGGAAACATTTGAAAGTGTTCTGAAGACTCTCAAACACTGTGCAAGTGTTAGTTGTCATAAAATCCAGTCCCTGCCCTTGAGGACTTTACAGTGTGGTGGGTGGGTAAACACAAGTACACATAAGAAGAGGACAGTCTTGGGCCCAGTGGCGTAGTGGTTAAGTTCGTGTGCTCTGCTTCGGCGGCCCGGGATTCACAGATTCAGATCCTGGGCGCAGACATGTGCACTGCTCATCAAGCCATGCTGTGGCGGCGTCCCATATACAAAATGGAGGAAGATGGGCCCAGATGTTAGCTCAGTGTTAATCTTCCTCAGCAAAAAGAGGAGGATTGGCAATGGATGTTAGCTCAGAGCCAGTCTTCCTCACACACACACACACACACACACACACACACACACACACAAAAAGAGGACAGTCTAGAATTAGGGCCAGGTGACAGGAACACAGAGCAAACGCTGCAGGTTCAGGGCAAATGGCCAAAGTGATGAGGGAAAGCAGCGGGGAGACCTTGAATGGGTTTTAAAAACAGAAAAACGTGGGGCCAGCCTGGTGGTGTAGTGTTTACGTTAGCGCACTCACTTCGGTGGCCCAGGGTTCGCAGGTTCAGATCCTGGGGGTGGACCTACACACCACTTATCAAGCATGCTGTGGCAGGCATCCCACATATAAAGTAGAGGAAGATGGGTATGGATGTTAGCTCAGCGCCAATCTTCCTCAAGCAAAAACAGGAGGATTGGCAACAGAACTCAGGGCCAATCTTCCTCACTAAAAAAAAAAAAAAAAAAGGGGAAAACGAGCTGTGTAAATGGAAAAGGGGAAAGGGACACTCCAGGCAGGGGAAAAGCAGGAGCAAAGGTGTGGCAGCAATTCTACACATGATCTGCTCTGGCAATCAGATGCAAACCAGAGGTTACAAACTGGTGACAAATTTGACAGATCCAATCTGCAGGTGTGTTTTACTTGGACAATGTTAATTTGCAATGTTTATTTGCTTGTTTAATAACATCTGGCAATCTAAAATAGGCAGATTTAAAATGAAAAATCCAGATTTCCTGTTCTTTTTAAAAACCAGAAGACTTGGCCACACCGGGTCCATTTTTTCCAGCTGGCAGCTACCCTCTGGAGCTTCTTACAGGGTTCCTGCCACATCCACTTCATTGCCTGGTGCCTTTTCAACCTAGTTCACTTCACTCACTCCATTACTACCCGACTCCATCAGCATCTGAGCTCGTGACCCCTCTGCAAACAAAACCTTCTGTTTGGAAAGGTTTGTGAAGGCAGCTATAGGAGGGGAGACATGGGTCCCTAGAGACACCCTAAAGGAGAAATCTGAACTGGACCCAAGCTCTAAAGCCTCCCTCCAGCTGCCACCCAGCCCACTCCTGCACACCTGACATCTTTGCCCACGGTCATCGACGCAATCACTTTCTTCACTGCCTCCTTCTTCTTTTCCTTCTTGTCACTGTTGAGCTCTGCCTTCAGCTCGAAGATCTCCCCTAAAAAAGGAAGCACGCATAAGCAATCCATTCCCGCCCTGCCAGGGGGCGATTCCCAGTGCCCAACTTCCAAAAGGATGGAAGAGAAGCAGGTAAGACACTGTGCTGGAGCTGAGGGCAGCGTTAGGCCCTGGCCCTGGGTGGACCACTGTTAGGAGAAGAGCTGTCGAGACGGAAGCTTGGAGGATACGCTGGACTGAGGAGAGGAACCATGGAAGCTCCGAAGGTCTGAGAGACCAAAAGCATAAAGGCAGGTCCTGCTTAGTCAGATGGGTAAAAACACACAGAAGAAAGCAAAGTTCTCCTCAGCCACGCTCACCCAAAGCCTCAAGGTAGTGTGTGACGGGAATCTGGGTCTTAAGGTTTGAAGGGAGAGGGTAGGATTTGCTCCATTCTCACACACACAGGCTTTTCCTGTTTTCCTAGGACCTCCAGTTAAAACAGCTCGCTCAGGGTTTCACTTCCCGAGCCACAAGTGGTTGCTCAGCTCTGAAAATGGGAATTCAGCTGCCCCACGAGGGCTCTAGCACGTAATAAACTGTTCTTAAGAACTTGATGATCTGGAAAAAACAAACAAGGAAGTAGGGTTGTTCAAGGCCCTGGCATGGAGAGGTAGTCAGGACCGTGATAAGCCCAATAACAGGTTACAGAGGGCAGACTCTGGAGTCAGACAGGCCTCCTGCCCTCAGAACAGCAGCAGCCAGCAGTTCCTGAGCACTTCCCTAAGCCAGGTGCCACATTAACTTCTTCCCACGCCTCTCATTTCATTCTCACAACAACTCTGCATTTCTGCCCATTTTACAGACGAGCAAATGGAGGCTATAAGAGGTTTAGTAACTTGCCCAAGAACACACAGGTAGGAGGAGGTAGGGCCAAGATTCAAAGCCAGGTCTGCCAGCTCCACAGCTCATATGCTCAGGCTGACTGAGGACATCCCTCTCTTCTCTGAACATATTTCCTTGTCTGTACTCTCTACCTTGATTGGAGCATTGAATTCTCTCATTTAACACTCAGATGTAAAATGTTTATCTCAGCGCCTGGCACTCAGTGGTCTGCATTAAAGGTGGCCACTATTAATAGTAACTTGCCATGTGACCTTTGTCTTGGATCCCTCTTTTGTAGAAGGAGAGTCCTGGGCTTCCCTCTCAAGTTACTTGGGGTGGGGGAGAAGCAGAGACTATCATGTGGGGGGAAGTGCTGAGGAAGTTCAAGATTGGGAGAAAAGAAAACTAGCAAGCTTTTATCATGACTAAACAATGTGGTATTCACCAAAGAACTTGAGATGAGAGACAGCAAACAAGGTTAATTAAGAACAATCCACACAGCAGAGCCCAGGGCAAGGCCACACTGAGGATATTGCTCAACGGAGCCAGGAGGAATCTGCAGACTTTGCAGTTCAAATTCATGGCTCTGTTGTGCTGAAGGAACACAAGCCCTTCTCCTCCAAGAGACTGAGGTGGCCGGGTCTCCCTCCTGTGGGATCCAACAGACCGTGATGACTTTGACCTGCTCCCTGCTGCAGGGCTGCCCCTGCTTTGCTCAAAGCGTTTGGCCAGATGCAGTACAACTGGCCGTCAATTGATGGATCTAGGCCTGAGTCACCTTGGCCCCAAGAAGGCTGGTGAGGGGATCTGCCTGCTTCTGAAATGTCTCCTTCCTGTAATGGGCCCCAAATCCCATCAATCACCACACCTACCTTCTCAGTCTCATACAAGGCATCTGATCCTCTCCATCCCCGTGCCATCCCCCCAACGCCCCCGGCTCAGGCACCATCATCTCTCATCAGAGCCGTGGTACTGGTCTCCCTGCCTACCTCCCCCCACAGCCCAGCTTCAACCTCTTCAATCCTTTATTAGAACCTGCCTTGGACCTTCCCTTGCTTAAAACCATCACTGACGCCAGATTTGGAACCAGGCATCCCTCTATAGACATTCTCCTCAAAAGTATACCCACAAAAAACCCCACCACTGACATCCCGATACACTTAGCACTAAGTTCACCCCCTCTGCCTGGCTCACCAGGCCCTGCACAACTGATTCCTGCACACCTCTCCAACCTTCCATCACACTCTTCAGTAAGTTGTGCCCAACTGCTTTCCTTTCCCTGAAGGTGCCATGGGCAGAGCACTTGCTGCCCTCCCCTCCCCTCCCCCACATCCCCCTTTAGCTAGCTAGCTCCACCCAGGGTCCTCCCACAGCCTGCTGCACTTCCCTTATCACAGCACCCACCGCCCTTTAGTGTGATTACTACTTAATAGCCTGTCTTCTCTGCTCAACTGCAAGCAAAGCCAGGTGAGAGACTCTGTTTGTCTCCTCCACTGCACATGGAAGGTGCTCAATAAAAACTGGCTGGACCAATAAGTGAGATGGCTGATGAGGGGCAGACTGCAGGTCCTGGCTCAGATGACCCAACAACAGACTCTTCTCATCTGGTCAGCAAGCATGTGTCAATCTCACTTGGAAGGAAGGAGGGAGGAAGGAAGGGCCAGTCAGAAAGATGCTTACAGGGGTAAAGCACATTTGTCAGCCACTACAACAACCTCCATTTCCCGAAAAGCAGAAACAACCACAATACTCAACAATATAAGACTAGCTTAGCAAATTTCAGTGCAGCAACTCAACAGACTAACCCTGAGTCGTTAGAACTATGGGGAAATGTTTATGATAATGTCAAATGAAAAACAGGATATAAACTCTGACTTCAATCACATAAAATATGGGCCCATGGATAAGGACCAGACACACACACACTTATCACTGTGGGGCTGCTGATAAGATTGTATGCTTTCTTTCCTCTAAGAAAAAACATCATATTTAACAAGTTTAAGCCATGGAGAACAAAAGAGGGTTTTTGCTTTAGTTGGAGCTAATGCTCTTCCCTTCTTGAGTTCTAAAAGAAGTGGTCAATTTCTTACATCATCAACAATTCAATTTTCTGGATCCACAAGGTTAAAGATGCTCTGGGTAATTCCCACCACTCACTTCTAGGCCTCCACCCCCACCCTACTCCCCACCCTTGAAAGGAGCAAGCAGAAGGGTCAGGCAGGGGAAAGAGTAGGACAAGACCCCACAGTGAAATATACAGTACCTTTCTTGGTCGTGGTGAAATATTTTGAGTCAGTCATTTTGGTCTCTTATCTGTGGCCAGACTCTGCAAGACAGAAGAGAGGGGTGACTTTCCATTGTGTTCCATTTCATTTTCAGTTACGGAGCACAGGAGGAGGGAAGGATCCAGCATACAAGTGGCATAGGAAGATAGCTTCTTATCTCTTTACTGGGCAAATGAACTATTAGATAATGGCTGATCAGATTTTGGAAGGGAATTCTGAGGGATTGATCAAATTTTTGAATGTGCATATCCTTTGACCCAGCAATTCTGCTTCTAGGAAGCTCCCCCACAGAAATATCTGCACAACAATATAAGGGTTTTACTGCAGCACTGTCCATAACAATGCATTATTGGAAATAACCTAGCCCATCATAAGAGAATGGCTAAATACTCTGGAAGAGTCCACAGATTAAAAAGCACTCAACAATCACAGTCTCAGATGCCCCTTCATGGTGCTCACTCTGCCCAGCACTGTTCTAGGTGCTTCAAATCCCTTCACTCACTAAACCCTCATCACAGCCTCGCGGAGGTACTATCATTACCCCAATACGGTCAAATGAGCTTGGAAAATGCCAAGTTTGAAAAGCTGGGGAAGTTTCTTCTCTCCCCAACGTTTCAGAGCTTCTCTAATGGTGATGTGCACTATTCATCTCTAAAGAAGGCTAGAATCTACACATTGCACACTCTATAGCATTCTCCAAATCTAACTGGCCAGTTTTCTCAGAGCATCTCTGAGGACATCTCCCAGTGCAATACTCACACTGTGAAGTGCTATTCTAAGGCAATAGGACAAAGAAAGTACCAGGGCCCCCTCATTCATTCAATAAACATATACTGAGCACCTGCTATGTAACCTCAATAGTTCCCCTTGGTCAACAGATGAAAGATAAAAGAAGCTACACAGGAGCCAAGTATCCTAGACACATGGCAGAGGCTCCTGGGGTTGTTCTAACATATATTAAGAAGCTATCCCTTCACCGATCCCCTATTACAGCCAGGAGCTTTATACATATTATCTCTTTAATCCTACCAATAAGGTAACTGTTTTTAACCCCATTTTACAGCTGAGGAAACTGAGGCTCAGGGATGTTAAGTAAATTGCAGAAGGTCACATGGCTTGTAAATAAGTGGACTGGGAGACCATCTCAGGTCTATCTGAGCTTAGCACCTGTGCTCTATCAATGAAGGAATTCTGCTTCCCCCATCTGAGAGGGAAGATGGAGCCCTGACAGTGGCTAAGGACTCAGTCCAAAAAACCAGGAGACTTTCAGTGCCACCTTCTAGTCCTTCCTGTTGTTTTAATGGTACAGAAAACCAAACAACCCGAAAAACAGACATGTGAATGGAGGAAATTCACTCACTTTGTTCCTTCTGTTGCCTCTATGGAAGAGACTCAAACATGTAACCCATCAACATCTTCTTTCAACTCATTACTACGGGGGGACGAGATGAAGGTTACCGGTGGGATGGATGTGAGAGATCAAGGATCATTTCAAAAGTCTCTGGAAACAAAGCTGACATAGCTCCTCTCCAGCTCAACTGTATTTTTCCAGGCTAAGCTTGTATTTATGACAGGATGGCATTGGGGCTGTTCTCCAACTGAGACACCCATAGATTTTGTTTCAGTAATCAATGGGAAACAATATGTACTGTCCCAGGACTGCCTTAAATCCTTTGTGGATCCTGTTAGAATAAAGGAATAAAGGCTTCGCTGACATAACAGTTATACAGAAAAAGACACAATTCTACTTTGCTTTGCAAGGTTGAAAAGGGATGATGGAACTTTCCTGTGGGAGCTGTGGGAAAGCACACAAGAGACTGCTGTGTCTGAGGATGCCAGACCCACCATGGAGACTCTAACTAGCAGGTCCTGGCAGCAGGAGTCAGGGCTGTGGACAGATACACAAAGGGAGAACCCACGTCGGCCTGCTCCACAGCTCCATCCATCCTTCCCCTTCATAGCCAATTAACACGTGGCCAGTGTTCAATTGATACTTGTTGAAAGAAATGAAAAGGGAGCCCTGAAAATCCCAGGAGCCTCAGCCTGCTCTCTGACAGCTCTGTTATGTAACTATTTGGCATTCGTTCCCTACAGGAGTTTACTTACATTAAAAATAATTTTCTTTTGAGTACATATAAAGCCATTTTCTTAGAGAAACCTCACAAACCTAGAGGTTCTTTCTGGAGTGCTGAGAATGAGCAGGTAAATGAGATAATGGGATGTCTGTCACACAATAAAGGGCTGCATGGCTTCAGAAGCCACAGGCGTGAGCAAAACCGGCAGAGGTATCCAAAACAGGTTTCCCTGTTTCTCAAGACTAAGTTTAGTCTAAGAAGAGGGGTCAATGAAGGCAAATGGGGCTAAAAATCACAGGCCAAAACAATCACAGAAAGTAACATATAAACCCCTTCACCATTAAATCTAGAAGGAAATCAACGTGAACAAAGTAAAAACTACCTTAGATGTCTAACTTCAGCGCTGCCCAGAAATTCTTCCTTCTCCAGTAGAGGAGGCTGTCAGAGACTTTCCCCTTATCTGCAGGCACAGCACAACATCTGGGGGCCCTCAATTCCCAGAACACAACTTGCTGGCGACAGATCTGTGCTGTATGCCAGGTGGAGGAAAGGGTGGGAAAGCTTCTCTTTCGGGGGATTAAAAAAAGCAACAGAGCTGCAGGGTCAGTAGTTAGATCACCACAGCCACTGACACCCCTACCGCAACGAGCTTTTGATGACACTCTTCCTTTCACAGGTGCTAAGCAACTACTCACAAACTTACACTGCCACCCAGGGCGCTGGCACTGGCTGCCTCTTTTCTCTGCAGCGTCTATTTTGCATATCCCTCTGCAGAGGGCCCAACGGGACTGAGGATGCTGAAATCGTATCCCTCTGAAGTTGTTTCATATACAGGAAATTAAAAGAGAAGGAAGGGGAGGTGGGGAGAAGTGAAAATGCTTTTGCAAAGTCACCCCAGAGCACAGATCTAAAAAACCTCACTTCACGGTGAAAGATCAACTGCACCTTGTTCATCTACTGAGGGAGGCTATCTCCTTGTGTCCTTTCTCTGTAGTTGCCGCTTAGATGTCAGCACAAGAGAGATTTTTCATTCTCTCTGCAGGAACGGAAAAAGCTCAGACTTGTAGATGCCACAGGAAAGACGGGTGCTTTCCCTGGCACTGCTCAGCTGTCCCCATACACTGTATCCCTACTAATGGAGGCCAAAGGGGCTAAGATTTTGATGAATCTGATCGTGTACATGAGCCATCTTTGGAAGCAGGGAGCCAATTTAGGCAAGGAAAAACTTAGGGTTTGGATTCCATCTTTGGAAGTGGCAGGGTGCATTAAAAAAAGCAGTAATTGGAAGGAATTTTTGGTTTGGAAACTGCTCTGGCCAGTGTGATGAGTCACTCTTGCTAAGGAGACAGCATTCTGGGCTGGGATACCCCTTAATTTCAGTATCTATAGGCCAAGGAATGCCTCAAGGGGATGGCACAGTCCAAATTAAAAGAGGGGCACACCTGGAAGGACTGGTTTTGTCTTTGAGGAGCCACTGCTGCTGTCCCTACCTTAAGTCTACCTTCCCACACCCATCCTCAGAAGATGACTTTGATGCCACAATCCTAGGACCAGTTCCTGTTAATCTCACTTTTTTTTTTTTTAATTCTATTGACATGCCTGTTTCCCCCTGCCACTAGGCTTAAAGAAAAGGGACTGAGTAATAAAGCCTGAAATAGAGTAGTTTTCTAGAATTATAAAGAAGTCCTTGGTGAGAATCACTGACATACTGGCCAGGGACAAAGATGTAATGTAATCTAAGAATGGAAAAATGAAGTCCTAGGAAGAAAAGGGAAGGGGAAAAAACTCATAAAAATATTCCCAGCTGACTTTAGATTTTAGCCACTGGAGTTAGGGTTACATTTAAGGGAAAAAAAAAAAAAGACTTCAACACTTTTCAAATCTTTGAGTCTTCACATATCTAAATGTAATTTTATAAACAAGAGAAAGAATACCTTTGTGTTTTGAGCTCATAAAATGAATTTAAATCTGCAAGAAATACATTAAGAAAATGAGTATTGAGTATATTTCAACTTTTCTCCAAGGTCTCAAAATTGCTAATAATAACAATAATAATTTTTAAAGGAAAGAGTACTGAACTGAGGTTACAGTTTACTTCATCTCTGTAATTCAACTTCGCCTCTTGAAAATGGGGATCTCACCACCTGCTGCTCTACTTACTTTACATATTTCTTCTGACAGAGAATAACGTGAGAATGAAAGCACGTTGATGAGTATAAACATCAACACCGTAAATATGAAATTCTAGAATAAGTAGAAGAGGATGCTTCTAGGTGGGAAGGACTGACAGAAGGGGGCACGAAAGAACACTAGGGTTGAAAGAAATGATCTGTGTCTTCTTTATCACGTGTGTGAGGGAGAGTGGCCCTGAGCTAACATCTGTGCCAATCTTCCTCTTTTTGCTTAAAGAAGAGTGGCCCTGAGCTAACATTTATGCCAATCTTTCCTCTATTTTGCATGTTGTCACTGCTACAGGATGGCTCGATGAGTGGTGTAGGTCCACACTCGGGATCCAAACCTGTGAACCTGGGCTGCCAAAGCGAAGTGCGCCAAACTCAACCACTACACCACCAGGCTGGCCCATCTTGATCCAAACTGTACACTGGCCACACTGTACACTTGAGAGCTGAGCATTTCACTTGGTGTAAACTATACAAACATTAATTTTTTTTAATAACAAAATAAAACCCAATGCTGCAGAAGAAAAATAAAACACTGCATACTCCAGAAGAAATAAAGCCTTTCTGAGTATGACATAAAATCAAGAAGACTTAAAAGATCTATGAATTAAATTATACAAAAATCAAGTTTTGGGGCCGGCCTGGTGGCGCAGTGGTTAAGTGCGCGCGCTTTGCTTTGGCGACCCGGAGTTCACAGGTTCGGATCCCAGGCGTGCACCGATGCACCACTTGTCAAGCCATGCTGTGGCGGCGTCCCATATAAAGTAGAGGAAGATGGGCACGGAC